GGCCGCCCCGGGAGAGGACTCCAACGGGGCCCTCCCGAGGGGGCTCGGCGCTCGGCCCGGAGGGGGCCCGGAGGGGCCCGGATGCGCTCGGCCCGCGCCCGGCGCAGCCAGCGCGCGAGACTGAGAGGAATCGGGGTCGGTGGCCTCCTCCCTCCTCCCTCCTGGGCAATATGGGCAATCTGGAAGTGTCTGAAGCCGAACAGTGCTCAACTTCAAACAAAAGGAAAAAGATTATCCCAGTGCGACCCTACCTAGGAGTTGGAACCCCTAGGAAAGCAGCATTAGTAGTAACAGTAACGCTAAGCTAAGCTCAAGCTAAGCTCAAGCTAAGCTAAAGCTGAGCTAAAGCTGAGCAGCAGCTAAGCTAAAGTTAAGCTAAAGCTAAGCTAAAGCTAAGCTAAAGCTAAGCTAAAGCTAAGCTAAAGCTAAGCTAAAGCTGAGCAGCAGCTAAGCTAAAGCTAAACTACAGCTAAGCTAAAGCTAAGCTACAGCTAAGCTAAAGCTAAGCTAAAGCTAAGCTAAAGCTAAGCTAAAGCTAAGCTAAAGCTAAGTTCAAGCTAAGCTAAAGCTAAGCTAAAGCTAAGCTAAACGCTAAGCCAAAAGGTAAGCGACAAGCTAAGCTAAAGCTAAGCTACAGCTAAGCTAAAGCTAAAGCTCCAGGGGACTGGGGGGGACCGCTTCCAGGGGACTGGGGGAACCGCCCGGGGCGCTTTGCACTGCCCGGCTCCTTTAAGCTAAGAGAGTAAGAACCCTTCTAGGCAGAGCCTAGGTAGGGAATTCGAATCCCCCCTCCCTCCTCGGGCAGTCCTGCTGGAACTTGGCCGCGAGCTCGCCCAGCGGCGTCCTGCCCAGAGGTAGGGCTGGGCCAATCCTGCACGAGGTCTGCGGCAGGAAACCGCGAAGGAGGGTCCGAAGCTCCTTGGACTTCGGGTTGGGGTGACACGGCTTAGACAACGCAAGGGCCTTCAAGGTTGCAAACGCGCCACAGCAAACACAGAACAGGACTGGGGTTCCATGGAGGACCGCCCAGGCAACGTGCAACTTGTGTTTGTTATAATCAGGGGCAGCCAGGACCCTGAGGAGAGACGCATTCAACCGACCATTACACTCAAACCGAGTTCGACAACTGATTCGCCGCAAACAATACTCACATCTCGAGTGGTCGCCAGCCCAATAAGGAGCGCGTGGGTCTCTCGGTCCCCGCCTACCCCTCGGGCCCACACTCCCCTTGTTGAGCTCACCGAAGATTTCTCCTGGGGTGGGCCACTCAGCGAGGATAGACGCCATGGATATACAAAGTTTGTAATAGTGAATGACAGTGTGTGTTATTTCCTCAGCCACTAAAGGAGGGAACTCATGGAGCCTAGCACCCTCTCTAGCTAGCCAATCAGCACACTTGTTGCCTCTGATGGCTTCCAGGTCTTCGGGGCTTTCAGCTTGGTTCTCCTCTCTATGGACCTTGGTTTTCTATAACATTGATCCAGCCTTCGGGGATGTCAACCGCAATCTTACGGAAGAAGTGAGACGCCACCGAATTCTGGGAGAGGGCTGCTTGGGGGTTAAAGCCAGCCCTGATCAGGGTTTGGTAGTCAACAGTGAGGCTGCTGGGGAGGGCCCCTTCCGCGTGCATGGCCCCCACCATCAGAGCAGCATGCTCTCCTACGCCTGAACTCTGACCAAAAAAATTAGGAACGGGACCAAAAATAGCACGGTACAGGTTTCCATCAGCATCTAGCTCACACACGCCAAAACCAGCTCTGGCCAACTCGCCTAGAGCTGGGCGGAAACAACTGCCATCAGAATAAAGCTTAGCATCCCGAGTGAACTCGAACCTTTCACACGGGCCTTCAGCATCTCTGTACCTGAGGCCCCAATCAGGCGCAGGCTCAGAGACATCAAACTTTGGAAGCCACGCTCTGGCATACAAGAGGCTCTGGTCACCAGCAGCAATGGCATCCTGGAGAAACTCAGGCGCACACGTCTCTTCTCTTTTTCTTGCGCCACGCGGGCACTCCCAACACCTGTGGAAGGTCGTGTCTGGCTTGCCGCAAAACTTACATTCGAGAGGAACAGAATAACCCCATCTCCTGAGGTTCTCAGCCGTGGGGACAGCACCCCCCGCGGCCTGCTTGCGCACGCTGGCAGGTCGAGGCGGCAACTTATGAGCAGAGCGCAGGAACCTCGCACTGAGCTCCCACCAGAGCCCTCGCACCTGAAGGGCCTGAGCTTCAGCACAAGGGTGGCGCTCAACAACCTTTCTGACAGCGGCCTGAATTCGAGCATCTTTAAACTTTGATACGAACCTCTTGGCAACATAAACTGGCGAGATCACATTCAGCTCGATATCCATGCCGAGACGGTCAGTGACGACAGATGGGTTCTTGAAAGCCCAGCCATCTTCCCTGACCCACGCAATAGTATCAGATATTGGCCCCTTGCTCCACTTAAACCACTGGCGCTTTGTTTGGGGAGCACTGGGGCCAGCAGTCTGGGCAGCTCTGAAAAGCTTCGTGAGTGTAGACGGGCTTAGAACATCAGACTGCTGCCGTTGGAGGTCGGTCCTAGGGATGGCGGCTTGCCACCATTCAGCCGCATAGCGTCGCAACGTCATACCTGCAACTTCTAGTGGATCCCTGGCACGAGGCAAACCCCACGCTAACTCCAAATCGACACCACGAATCGAGACTCCACTAGATGCTGCAGCTGACTGTCTTAGCCTGGATACCTGGCATGGACTGAACGCATTGATGCCACCTCCGTAGGTGACCGCAGGGAGGGCATCCGTAGCCATTAGCCTAGCTTTATCACCAGGCCACTTCGCTTTAAATTTCTTCAGTCGGGAAACACGCTGACACACCTTGCGCCATCTCATGGCTCGGGTGGCGTGGGCCTTGGGGTGAGCTCGGTGCTTTCCCGCGCGAAAATCCCCCCCACCCCCCCCCCCCCCCCCCCCCCCCCCCCCCCCCCCCCCCCCCCCCCCCCCCCCAGTTCGCAACCGAGTGCACCCCATGGCCCCCGTGAACTTTACCTACAGCTTGTTTAGCAACTCCTAGGGCACGATGAAAGGATGCTATCATACAGATCTTGTGGTCGGCCAATGGCAGGCCCAGCTCACTTACAATCCTGTGGCCTAGCGCATTGAGCCTGTCTGCAAAGCCCTTTGCCAGGGCAAGCAAATCCGCCCCCCACGCATGGTGGGCGAGGTCATCAAAATGAAGGGAGACAAGGGCATCCTGAGGCAGCGTGGCACTGCACTCCTCCACCGTGGGTTTTAATGCGAGCTCGGCTTCAAAAGTGGCCGGGGTCGACCAAGCAACGATACCCCATCGTTGGCACACTCCTGGCATAAGCAACCCGTCATACAAGAGGTGACGGGGCCATTTGTAACTATTTATACTGGCAAGCAGGCTGGCCATTGGATCGTTGCATTTTCGGCACACTGGAGCAGCAAACAATATGGCACATGTTCGCAGAACTGGAGCAAGTCCCACAACACAGCCAGATAGTGCATCTTTCTGTTAGCGGCTCCCTCAGCAAGGGCCGCCTGCCTCCAGACAGTGTCAGTCAGGCTACGAAACTGAGCACATGAATATTCAGGTCCCACCCCCTCACGGCTCCCCCACCCCCGCAAATCATATTTTCCTAACTTGCTGTGCAAGCGAAAAGCGGCAGGGCAATGGCCCAGGGGGCGTCGACCGCCAGCGGCCTTATGCGCACACAAAACAACCAGGCGGCGAAGCTTTCGGGGAGCACAGCTAGTTAGATCAATAAATGGAACAGTTTAGCAAGCAGCTCAAGAGACTCCTCGCACAGCATACTATAGTGTCGTGGGTGCCAGCCGTCAGGCCTGCACGTGTGCTTGCTAAAACGCTCGCTGATAGATCGAAGCACTTCGGCATTGGCAGCAGCTCTGACGGGGACAGGTAAAGGCCAGACCGAAATCGGAGCAGGGCTTTCCTCGGCCCTCCAGGCCTGGGTCCACTTCAGCTGTTCAGCCCGCATCCGATTGGCGATCGAGGTTCGGTCCAGGGCGGGCCCAGGCGGCCCAGGGCCAGAAACATCAACAGGGGCCTGCTTACCCCTTAAAAAGCTGTGCGCCTTTCGCGCATCTTGCTCCATGGCATCAGCACACCACTCAGACCACTCTTTGCGTCGTATCTGTGCAGCGGAGCACAGCATGTGGTCGCGCACGAACTGGGCAAAGCTGATCATCTGATCCAGCGCAGCCTCCGTCTTATCATTCGGGGCCTGGACCAGGGCACCAGCAATAAAAATAATTGGATGCCAGAAGCTGCCCCCGAGGGACCAAACCTGACGAAACGGGCCTCCACTGACCAACATCCACAAACACTGGACCGAGAGATTCGTGAGGTCAGCATGGCGTCCAACTTTAAAACCTTGTCCCAGCAGTGATTTCAAACTGGAAAGCTTCTGAACAACCCAGTGCAAGGCCCGCTGAGGGTCTACTGAAAATGCTTTTTCGCCGAAAGGGGCTGTGGAAGATAAGCAATGAATCAATGCAACACTACCCTGCTCTCTCCTGCATTCTACTGCTATCTACTGCTATGCTGCACTACTACATCCATCTACCTACATACCTATCCACAGCTAGTCCGACGGAGGGGGATTTCTTCACCCCTCCTCACTGCGAGAGAACCCTTCGGGTTGGCTCACAGTGCGAGCAGCCGAGAGAGGTCTTTACCTCCTACGACTACCGGTAGCGGAGCTGTGGCGATCCAGCGCGACCACCACTGCGCAGAAAAGTGTAGCTAGCGCGGGGCTGCCCGCAGCCAGCTTGCTCGTCAAGGCGGGGGTGCGGAGCTACCCGCGACTCCCCTCAGACTGCTATCCTGCCCGGGGGGCGCCGGGAGCAGAGCAACCTGCTTCCCGAGGGAGCGGGGCTACCCGCGTCCCTGCTGCTTCCAGAGGGAGCGGGGCTACCCGCGTCCCTGCTGCTTCGGCGCCGTGCCGCTCCTCTATTTCAGGAGCAACCCTTTCGCCGGTCTGCCGCTCCTGCACTCCTGGTTGATACCCTTCATGTGGACGTCGATCTCCTTACGACCCAATGGCTTAGTCAATAGGTCGCTCCGGTTCTCGGCCGCACCGATCTTGCCCAACTCCAGGTGCTGCATGACGATCCTCTCCTGCACCCACAAGTAGCGGGTCTGAACATGCTTGAGCTCCCCAACGCCCCGGCGCGAAGCAAAGCCGCGCGCCGCGGAAGAGTCCGACACCACCTTGACTTTAGATGGGACCTGCCAGTCCTCCAACAAGCCTTGGATGCCTAATCCGGCGCAGGCGCCGGCGCTGATGGCGTAGTACTCGTTCTCTCCGGAGGAAAGTCCTACCACCTGCAACAGGTTGCAAGCGTGCTTCACCACCTGGCCGCCGACGAAAACGACCTGCCCGACAGTAGACCGTCGGCTGATCTTGTCGCCAGCGTTGTCGCTGTCCACCATGACCAAGATGGGCAAAGGACTACCCCTGTCGATGTGCTTGTTCCTGCGGAGAACCTGCACCACCCGGGGTCTTCCTTTCAGGTATCTTGCCAGCCTCTTGAGCCTGGCCATGTCGACCTGCTTCGGGCTCTGCATGTGCTTAGCCAGATTCTTTACTGCATCTCCAATGTCAGCCCGATCTGGTGCTAAGTATGATGCTCGCATGGTCACACTGCGGTACAACCGGATGTCGTCGCCGACAAGCGGGGGCGAGGCTAACCGCTCCTCCGCTTCGGCCTCCTCCTTCTTCAGCCCAGGAACATCCAGTGTCTTAGCGGATTCCTTTTCGAGGCCCATGTCGCGAACTATCATCTCTGCGTGCCGCGGATCTGCTTCGACCTCGAAACGCTCCCCCCCTGGGCTTCCTGTGACACGTAAAATCCTGTTTAAGAAAACAACCTCCTGCTCCCCTCCAGAACCGAGCGCGAAACGACCTGTCACCTTCAAGTCGCATTTCTTCCGCAAAGTGTGCTCGATCTGGTCCAGGGCGTCGTCGTCGCCCATGGCGCAGAAGTCGTCTCCGTGCACTAAAGACCGACAGTCGTCGACCTTCTTGTAGAACAGGGCCGGGTTCGCCTTCCCTGCCTCGTGCCCGTCCTGCTTGAGCACTGCTGTGTAGTCTCGCTGCCAGATGGCAGACGCGTCCTGGGTGCCGTACATGCTCTTCTTCAGGAGTGCACAGTGAACGCCGTCCTGCTCCTCCTCTGGCAGCTCCACGTACACCGTCCTCTCGGCCAGGCCGTAGAAATGGGCACGTGAGATGTCCAAGAATCTCATCCCTAGAGGCTTACCCCGTTCGCTGCTCCTGTTCTGCACCATCAGGCCTCCTAGCATCTTTACTGCTTCCAGAGGCGGCATTGCTGAAAACAACAACGCTGCAGGCAACTTGCGCCCTTCTTCTCCCTGACCTCGCTTCTCGCGCACGACGATACGAGACCGGTAGTTCGGTCGCTCGTTGTCGCCCTTGTTGGTGTCGAGCCACATCAAACGGATTGGCTTCGCACCTGTCACCTCCAGGCACTCCTTAAGAGTCCTCTTCTCGTACACCTCCTGTCGGCGGAGCCATCCTACCTCCTCCCCCCTAGCCTTCCTCGCCATGGCGGGGTCTAGCCAACCTCCGTCGACGTCGTCCCAGTACCTCTCGCTCTCCTCCAACAACGATCTGCCCTGCTCGTAGGCGTCGGGCTCTGTAGGCAGTGGACCGGCCGTAGCCGCCGCCAGGCCAGAGAGGGATCCATCCTTCTTCATGGATTCTTTTACTGCTCGTAGGACGCACCGCGCCAGCATCGGAGGATGCGCCTGTGCCTTGCGAGCTACACCACCTGTCAGCATCACATGTTGGTGCTGCTCTGGCCCCGCGTCGCCGGGGCACCCCTTCTTGAGCTCCAGCGCAAGCTCTGGCAAGTTGGCCATGAATCCGGTTCGCCCCCGGATAAACCCTGGCACGCCGGAAGGGGGCTGATCTTGTGCACCAGGCTTCGCGCCCCACTTGCACATAGCTCCTCTAGCCCTTTCCACGGCGTTCTGCCCCAGCAGCTCCTGGACGACAGTCGAGTCCCAGCTGCTGTCTTCGCGGGGGTGCTCGCGCACGAAGTACCTGCCCCGAGCCACCTGCCTCCGGTAGCTCCCACAAGCCACCTCAAGATGACGTTTTGCAAGATCTTGCTCTTGAAGGGCCTTCTCCGGGTCCCGCCTGAGCCGGGATGCACCCTGCAGCTCTGCGAGCGCCGTGGAAGGAGGTGATCCGATGAGGATGTACGGATCCTCGCGCTCCAGCGTGTCGTACCACTCCTTCCTGTCCTCCTCCTTCCTGAAGTCCCAGTGCCCCCCATTCGGTCTCTCTGCCTGCATGTCTGCGCTCACCCCAGGTCTCAAGCCCAAGTGGCACGAAAGCGCAACATGGCACGGAGGCGGGCACTCTTCACGGACATCCACGGCTCCCAGCTGCAAGCCTAGATGGGTGATATCCTCCAGCTCCTCCGCCGAGAGGTCAACCTCGTTCCGGCGACACGCGGAAACGATGCTCCTCCGATACAGGCTCCTCAACTCCTCCTTCCTCGTCATCGTCGTCATGCTGCTCATGTCTACGTCTCCTCCTCCTGTCGCCGCCGGCGCGGAGCCCCCCGCAGCCGCGGCGCCTGGCACCTCCGCAGACGCAGCACTGGCCCCTGTCGCTGGAGCCGGGCCTCCAGACACTGACGACGCAGCCGGAGCGGAGCCACCCGCTTCCGCTGCACCTTCTGGCAACGACACCTCCATGTCGTCGTCTGCTGTTCTCCGGCCAGCTCCTTCAGCCGACCTGCTCCTCGACCTCTCGTCGAGCCCCTGGCCCGTTGCGACGGCAACCGGCCTTCCGCGAGGCCGCTCGTCGCCGGGCGGCGGCGGCGCCTGTGCTGCCGCCGGCGGCATGGGTGGCGCGCCTCCCGCTGAAGCCGCGGAGCCTCCCGCAGGCCCCTGTTCCTCTACTCGGGCTCGTTTCGCCCTGCGCGCGTCCAGCCTACGCCGGCCCACGTCGTCCTCCTCCACCATGCTAGCCATCCGCTGAGAGCACTCTGCTGTGTGCGCGCGCCCTGCTGGCAGGCCACACATGATGTTCAGACACGCTGGACACAACGGTGCCCCTCCGAATCGCTCCACGTCCGCCTTCAGTACGTAGAGCTTCCTGGGTCCTGGCACTCCTCCTCCGCCTCCTCCTACTCCTCCTCGTCCTCCTGCTACAGGTTGAGGGGGTAGTGGCGGATTTGCCGACCCGGCAGCCTCCCGGCCTGCCAGCAAGGGCCTCCCTGGAGCGGGGCTAACCGCATCCGGGGGCTCCATTTCCCAAGGCGTCTCACGCGCCTGGTCTAGCCCAGCGGGTTTCCAGCGTTCCTCCGCCGTCATCTTATTGTAGGTCTTGCCTCGCAAAACCCCCTTGGTGGTCATCACCAGCAGACTGCCAGTCCGCGTCTGGTGGCCGACGTACCACCCCTCTATCGTTTTAGGAGTCATGCCGCTCCGCGGCTCCTCCTGCGCGAGCCTCGCGTGAATCCGTTCGCCGAATTCCAATGCCGACTTCGCCCAGCGCCTTCCTGTGCGCCTTTGCTCGGCGGACCCCCCGTCCTCGCCGATACGGTATCTACTGAGACACGCAGCAGCATGTCGTGGCAGCCACGTCCAAATCGGATGGTGCAGCGGTAGCCGCGCACCGGTCCTCTCCTTGAGCGTCTCCTTCTGCGCACGCACAATGCGTTTCACCTCCTTGACCGCGTTCTCAGCCTCACCGTTCGCTGCGTGGTCTCCTACAGGAGACTCCTGCATGACAGTCTCTACTGCCTGCATCTGGTCAGCCACAGCCTGCTTCAAGGCTACAAGGCTGCGTTCGCCGTCTGACCGGCTCACGTACCTCTTCCAACCGAGCTCCTTCAAGTAGCCCGCGAAGAACTTCACAGGGCACGGGTGCACTACCTTCTGGGGCACTGCCGTCGCCGCATACCCCTTGGCACGGCGCCCCCTTATCACCAGCATCGGCAACGCTGTGTCCTCACTGCCGTCGTCGGCCAGGTAACCGTAGTCAGAGCACACAACAGGATCAGCTGTTTCCGGGTCCTCCTGTCGGGCTCGGCGCTGTTCGCCGATCTTCCAACCGAGCTCCTTCAAGTAGCCCGCGAAGAACTTCACAGGGCACGGGTGCACTCCCTTCTGGGGCACTGCCGTCGCCGCATACCCCTTGGCACGGCGATCCCTTATCACCAGCATCGGCAACGCTGTGTCCTCACTGCCGTCGTCGGCCAGGTAGCCGTAGTCAGAGCACACAACAGGATCAGCTGTTTCCGGGTCCTCCTGTCGGGCTCGGCGCTGTTCGCCGATGCCCCGTGCTGCCTGGCAGTGGCGGCACCAAGACCTGAACTGAGCATGTCCCATACCGTAGTGCTCATCCACCTCTTGCGCACTCGGCGCTCGAGGCCCTGTCCGGATTTTCACATCCGGTGCTTCCTCCCCAACGCCTTCTCGAAGCAATGGGGGTTCCGGAGCGGGGCTGCCCGCATCCGGGGCCGGGGCGGAGCCACCCGCACCCGGCTCACCCTCCAACGGCCTTACGGGCACTGGCCCTGCCGCCGGAAACCCGGCGACAGGCCAAGCGGCGCGATGTCTTCCGCGCGCCCCACCTTCATGTAGAAGTTGTAGACGCCCCTCTCTCGGTACACTGGCAGGAGCGAGTCGTCGCCGAAACGCCTCACCAGGCGACCGAGCTCCTTCTGCAGCATCTTCCCGATGCGGCCATCCTTGGGGATCACGTACCCCCCGTCTGCGCTTAACCATATCAGCTGGCGTCCCTTCTCGCACACTTGGGACGCTGATGCCAATATCTTGCGCACGTCGCTCCTCCTACCAGTGATGCACCTTCGGGCATCGTTCTCGTCCTTGCAGTGCAGACGAACGCCTCCGTAGTCCTGGATGCGCTCTCCGGACGCCGTTATGTATCCAGAATGATGTGGAGAGGGAATCGGCGCGGAGCTACCCGCGAACCACTCCCTAGGGTAGGCCGTCGCGGCAGCCCCGCTGTCCAGGTTGAAACGGACATACTCGGAACCGTCGGTCGTGCTCACGGCGGCGATCTCGATGGCACCCATATCCAATCCTCCCTGTTCTCCTTCTGGCTCCTTCTCTCCCTCTCCTCCTCCTTCGTCTAGCGCTCCTGCTCCTTTCCCTTTCCTGCTGCTGCCCTTGCCGCTCTTCTTGCTCTTTCCTTTTCCTCCTCCTGTCTGCGGGGGCGCCCAGCAGCCCTTCTTCTTGTGGCCGTACTTGCCGCAGTTGTCGCAGTAGCCCTCGAACTTCTGCTGTCCGTGCTGCGGCTGGTGCTGCTGCGGCTGGCGCTGCTGCTTTCCCTTGCCTCTTCCTTTCGCGTCCTTGCCTGCGCTGCCCTTGCCTTTTCCTTTTCCGCCCTTCGCAAGCGATCCGGCGTCAACGTCCATGGGGGTTGGACCTGGACCTCCTGCCTGCGGCATGCGGTCCCTCAGCGTCACCTTGACCAGCTTGCCCGTGCGTGTTTCGTAGTACGTCATCACCTCTTGCCTCATGTCGCTGTACTTCTTGAGGCGTGATGCGTTCAGTTGCAGGTGCTTCTCCAAATCGTCTGGCACTAGGGCTTCCAACGCTGAGCACAGGAAGTCGTCAGCAATGGCCGGTTCGCCAAGCTTCAACGACTTCTTGTTGTAACGGCTCACCATCTCCCCCCAGGTCTGCAAGGCCGAGCCGAGCTCGTCCATCTTGACTCTGGTCGGCGCCAGGATGGCTCGTAAGAGGCTCCTGCGCCGACCCCCGGTCAGGGAGTCGAAGCGTCTGTGCAGGCGCCCCCACGCCTCTAGGCCGTTCTTGTCAGCGTTCTGCACGATGGTCCAACCTTCACCTTCTGTGAGGTTGCTCAAGACCGTCTTCACCTGCAAGTTGAGTCCAACGACGCCGTCTATGACATGATCGCTCCCTGGTCCGAAAGATTCCAGCACCCGCTGTGCTGCGATCTCCTCGCCCTGGTCGAGCGCCCACTCAAGGGCCTGTTCCAAGGCCGGCTCGACTCCAAGAAGATAGTCATCTGTCTTCTTGGCCCACTCTGGGAATCGAGCTTCGTCGTTGTTGAAAGCAGCTGGTCTGCCGACGCCCTTGCTGTCAACCAGGCTCGGCCGGCTCCTGGCAGCGAAGGTGCGCGTCTGCTCGTCAAGAGCACGAATGAGTCTCTCCACGACCTCATTGGAAAGTGCTCCCGCTGCTGCTGCTGCTGCTGCTGCTGCCGCGCCTCCTCCTGGTCCTGCGGCGGGGCGCTGCTGGATCGCCTCCAGCGTCTGCTGCTGCACCCTCACCGTGTCTGCCAGCTGCGCGTTATCCTGCCGGAGCTGCCTGAGCTCCGCTGCCAGTTGCTGAAGCTGCTGCTCCATGGCTCTCGCCCCTTTCCTGCTTCACCTCCCTCAGCGCGGAGCTCCCCGCTGCCGAGAGATGATGCGGGGGCTCTTGGTTGGCCCCGGCGCGCTTCCCGACCGTCTCCGGCTGCCCAGCCGCATCCGACGGACTTCGCGCGCCCCCTCCTTCTGTTCGTGGACGCACGCCACCCGGCGACACGTTCCTACGGCGAAAGAAGATCTGCTCGATCTTCACCTCGAGGAAGCCCTTCTCCCTCGCCTCAAGCGCGGCTGGTGGGTCGTCTGGCGATCCCTCAGCCTCCTCAGCCCCCTCTCGCCTCCCGCGCCGGCGCCTCCTGCGCCGCGCCGGAGGTTCTTCCGGGCCGCGGTGCCCGGCCTGCTCACGGGAAGGCGCGGGTCCACCCGCAGCCTTCGACCGTGCCTTGAGGAGCACTGGGCGCGGAGCGGGGCTGCCCGCTTCCGCCGCCGGCTCCTCCCTCTCCGGGCCACGGCTCGGCGCGGAGCTACCCGCAGCCAGCCGAAGCCCAGGTGCGCCGCCCAGCGAGCGGCGGCGGTGGCCGCGCACCTCGCGGTCGCGGCGTCGGGAGGCTCCTCTGGTGCCTCTCTTGCTAGGCATTCATCGCGCGCCGCCGGGCGCGTGCGAGCCGCCTACACTCGCTACCATGAAAATGCTTTTTCGCCGAAAGGGGCTGTGGAAGATAAGCAATGAATCAATGCAACACTACCCTGCTCTCTCCTGCATTCTACTGCTATCTACTGCTATGCTGCACTACTACATCCATCTACCTACATGCCTATCCACAGCTAGTCCGACGGAGGGGGATTTCTTCATCTACACGCTTGTACGATCTGTTTTTTCCCCAAACGGGGCCGACTTCCACTGGAAGTCCGAGCCGGCGGGCAGGCCAGAGACAATTGGCATGTCCGCCGCACGGCAGACTTCACTCCAGGCCAGGTCGTTCCACTCGTCGTAGACGGTGTCCAGCAAGCTCAGCGCCTCCTCCTTGGCAGTGCCCTGGGGCTTGCACTTGGCTGCAGTTCCACCAAGCGTTCGAGAAGTCCATCAATCTGGTTCAATAGGTGCTCGTAGCTTGGTGGCGGCAAGAATGGGCAAAACATCCTTTGAGTCGGAACATTCTGGCACGGTTCAACAATCTCAATCATCTGGTCCTTTACACCTTGTAGCGCAAGGAGAACAGGGCTGTGTGGTGAGACAGGTACATCAAGGAAGACTTGCACCTCCACCAACATATCGAGATGACGACCAATCATAGAATAGTAGACTGTTGAGCTGTGGCCATCCAGGGTGCAGGAAGGGTTCTCTTCATCAGCACGCGTGACACCCCGTAGCTTCGTCAACGGGATAGCAGCATTAAGTTTCTCAGGGGAATTGTTAAAGTCCCCTCCAAAGATATATGGGAATTGGGCAGCATGAACTCGGTGGCCTGCAATTTCCAGTATCTTGACGTTCCTTGGAGCGAAGCCTTCACCAACCTAGAGATAGCATGTCATTCGCCAACATCATGCAAGCGTAGGTGGCATCGTGCGAGGCGTCCTCGTACTAGCTCCCCTTCATCTGGCGCCCAGGAGTTGAGGTAGTGTTTGACCAAGATGACAACTCCAGCCGAGGCTCGCCCTTTCTCCGTGAGGCAACATGGTCCACCATATGAGCGCCACCTGCCTTTCTCAAATCATTCATGACTTTGGTATATCTGACCTTTTTTCAACCGATGCTCTTGAACCATTATTACATCTGCGAAGCTGAGGGGGTCCATGATTGAATGAAATGTATTCCAACTCGAGCCATTGATAATAACAACTTTCAAACCCTGCCGCTTCACAGTTTTGACCTCCGGCCTCGGTGGTGACGGAGACACCTGCATGGCCTTGTGGGTGAACGGTGAGATTTGTCGTGGTCCATTCCGATGTGCGTTCTGACACCCCAGGTGGTCGGCACCCTCTACCCTCTCAGGCCATGTGGCTGCGGGCGAGCAGTGCGTGCAACCTGGGGTGATCTCTCTGGGTCCAGCCCCGTAGCGACTAATAGGCAACTGCGATCCTGACCTGGTAGTCAAGCTTGACGGCGATGTACTCTGGGTCGCTCGTGCCACCAGCCCTGGGCCCAGGCCAGCTGGTGGAGAGGCTACAGAGGGCCGTGGGGCCTCATCCCTGCGAGGCGCAACCCTTGGGGAAGGGCTGTCATTCAGAGCAGCATACTGCAGCTCACCAAGCAGGGGTGGCAACACACAGCCTTGAAGCGCAGTATCCATACATGAAGTATTTGCAGCATCAGCAGGCTGAGGGACCGCACTAACGCAAGGTGCAGCCCTTGGGGAAGGGCTGCCATTAAGGGCAGCATACGCCAGCCCACCAAGCGTCAGTAGCAACTCAAAGCCTTGCTGTGAGGTGTTCGTCTTCTGTGTCGAACTCCTGTCAAACACTCTGTCCTGGTGGAGTGGGTGCGAAGGGGTTGGTGTCCTTGGGAACCCTGCCTGTGTCCACTGCCGTTTGTGCAATTGCTGCGGCTCGGGAACGAACTCTTTCTTTCCCATCATCCTTTGCCTGGGCTGGCGACACAGTTGGCACCTCCTTCGCTTCAGATTCCGAAATCCCGTCTCCATCAGTTCCTTTCCTCTTTTTTGCAACCAGCCTTTCTTTCTGCTTTGCGTGTTCGTTGCGAAGTTCCTCTTCCTGGGTCTTGATTTTGCCAAACATCGTAGCTGTAGCCTCCTGGAGAGAATCTTGTAGCATCTTGACCCGACGGGCCGCCTCCTCCTTGTCCTCGGCCGAGAGATCCACAAACTCCGTGAGCCCAAACATCTCAGTCGGGTCCAAGTGGAGCTGCACCTGCCCTTCCATGAGGGCTTCCAAGCTGATCTTATTCTGGTTCGGTTCAGATGCAGCTGGGTGTACTTGAGAGTGAATATCCTCGATGGCCACACGATAATCTTCCTCATGCTGGGCAACTTGACGCAAAACTTCTTTGATTTGGGTTGCTTGAGATTCGAAAGCTTCCTGTGTCTTCTCATACTGATCCACCAACTTCTGCAGTTTCGTGTCCAGCTGCTTGAGCGCACGGTTGGCGTCGTTTGCACGCTGCTGGGCAGGGGCTTGAGCCACGGGCTGCGATGCAGGAAGCTTGGCACGATACACATATGCGGTGGTCTTGTCCCCCATTTTCTCAGCGAGGTTGATGAGTTGTGCAATCTCAGCCTCCGACACACTCCCTGGTGTAGTGTTGAATGGAGACGCCCATCTTTGATCTGTGAGCACTGGAAGACCATCCTTTCCTTTTCCTTTACTTCCTTCTGGCTTGGGCGAGGGCCATTGGGGCACTTGGGTATCACTAGGGGCGACACCAGACCAGCTCCTTTGGCAATGCTTACACCAAGACCAATGTCACTTATTATTTGCACACCCACAGTGCCCGCATTTCCAAGCCCCACGAGGCTTAGTAGGGCTGGCAGCAGGCACCATGGCTTCCCCAGGACCCTTCCTGGAAACGTCGTAGTTACTGCGCTCCCACAGGAGCTCACAACAGGTAAACCTCGTCCGACCTGGCAAACGGGGGATGCAATCGGGGGCCGTCTTCTCCCCCGTGCCAAAAAGTCAGGTCCTGAGCCGAACTGCTACGGACTTGAGCCAAAATGGCTACGGTCCTCCCTCCTCCCTCCTCCCTCCTCCTCCTCCTCCTCCCTCCTCCTCCTCCCCTCTCCTCCTCCTCCTCCTCCTCCTCCTCCTCCTCCTCCTCCTCCTCCTCCTCCTCCCGCAAGACTGAAGGGGCCCCAGGACACACAAACAAATACACACAAACAAACAGGTTCCCCATATCTTCCCATATTTTCTGGGTTCCTGTCTTCCCCCCCACTTCCCATACTTTCCCATATTTTCTGGGGAATCCAAAACTAATTGTGTCTGCGTTTTTTCCTTACTGAAAGATGTAACCGCAGTAGGCAGTGAAAAAGCCCCCCGGGGTTATCGTTAGCACCGCACCGCAATGGACTAATGCTTGGGGGCGGCGCTCGCGGAAGGATATCTCTAGCACCGCGCAAAAGAAAGGAAAACAAATAATTCCCGCGCCTTGACTCGGGCGGCATCCCTATGGGAATCTGTAGGATTCCTAGATATTCCGATTCCCCTCCTAACTCGTGCTACTGCCGCTGCGACGGTAACGCTGATGACGACGATGGCGACGTGTGTGTGAGTCGAAGCGGCCTGCGCGGGCGACTGGAACTCCCGTCTGCGTTCAAAGCAGGTTGCGAGGTGCCCGGGTAACGCTTCCAGGGTGCTGGAGTGTTATACTTTCGCCGGAGAGGGGGGGAGGGCTTTCGTAATTGCCTCTCCGGGTATATGGAGGTATCCCTGGACCGAAACCGACCCAACTATCGTCGCTGTCATGGGCTGGCAAGATCCAAAGCACGGCCACAGTGCAGTTTGGAAACTTGTGGCATTCCAGGCCCCAAAGCAAGCCGGCTCAACGCGCGCGCAATCCCAAAATCCCCCTCGCGGCCCCTCGTGGCCCCTGCCGCGCCAGGGCCGCTCGGCCGAAGCGCCCTGAAGCTCTCCTCCTTTTTTTTCCTGTGATCACACTGGGCCCTCTCTCCTCCTGGAACGCCGCCTGGGCTGGCCTCCCGCGCCGCGCCCAGCCGTGGCCACGAGGGAGGCCCTGGAAAACCCACCCAACCATCTGGACACGGCCCGGGAGCGCAGGGCGGAGGAGCGCCAGGAAGAGAGGCAGCCAGGCGCAGTCACCTCCTCCTCCTCCTCCCCCTCCTCCTCCTCCCCCTCCCCCTCCTCCTCCTCCTCCTCCTCCTCCTCCTCCTCCTCCTCCTCCCCCTCCTCCTCTCGGGTCGGGCGAAAGGGGGGGATAGCAAAGGGGGGGTTTGAGAATCAGCTCACGTAGCTGATTTTCCCGGCGCCTCCCGGCGCCGGAGGCGGCTATGTATCGAGGAATGGGCCCCTCGGTGAGGCCGAAACCAGCTGCATGCAGCAAATTTCGTAACCCCCCTTTCCCAATCCCCCCCTTTCGCCCGACCCGATCCTCCCCTCCTCCTCCTCCTCCTCCTCCTCCTCCTCCTCCTCCTCCTCCTCCTCCTCCCCCTCCTCCCCCTCCCCCCCCTCCTCCTCCTCCTCCTGAGGAAGCGCAGGGCGGAGAAGCGAGAGGAGCGCCAGCGCGGGAGCCGGGCGCAGTCACGTCCGCACGCGCAGAGGCACGGGCGGAGCGCCGTGCGCCCATGCGGGAGCGGGGCGGCCCGCGGATCAAAAGGAGCAGCATGCATGCAGGCGGAGGAGGCGGAGGTCGAGGGCACGGTCCTCGACAGAGATCCAGGGCAAAGAAAAAATCCAGACGGAGGCTTCTCGCGGCTTTTCACCTCTCGGGGCCCTCGCCGGGCCCCGGGACCGTCAAAAAACGACTCAGGATGAAAGAACAGCCCCGGGGAAAGGGTCGGGACTTCCGCCTCTGCTGCACGAGCGCCCGCTTACAGCCCAGGCCTCCGAGGAAAACCTGGAGGCCCTGGGGGCAGAGGAAATTGCTTGGAGCCCGGGACACTGATTTCCGTAACCACAAACCAGGAATACAAAAAGCTTGGCGCCATCGGCGCCACGAAACATTGCGCGTCTTTTTGTTTTTGTATGTTTAAAGACAGGAAGCAGCCAAACACTGTGCATACGTTTTTGTGGATTTGGAGGCCCGGGCGCTCACCGCGCCAACGCCCCCAGCACCCCTCTCTGAGCCTCCAAACAGTTTAAACACATATACACAGTGTTTAGCTGCTTCCCAATCCAGATGATGTGTTTCGCGGTAACGAGGGCGCCAAACACTGTGTAGCATTGTTCGCTGATTTGCAACACGGAGGAGGGAGGGAACAGGAAACGGAGGAGGAAAGGAAAAAGAGAAAAAGGGGGGGCTGAGGACGGCCGTGCACCTGGCCACGGAGCGCGGCTTCATATGGTAGATGGAGCCGTATGTACAAACCCCTCTCCCCGATCCTCCACCCCACGGTCGACCCCGCCTGCTTCCTGAAGCCCTGTGTCGTAGCCACTGTGTGCAGATTTTTGAGCCACCCACCCTGCAGACATTCGTCTGGCACCCTCCTCCCCGACTCTCCTTATGGGGCCACGAAACGTGTGAGGGGTGCACCGAAGTTGGTGGGGGGGCGGCATGCGAACGCAGCCACTGGGGCCTTCGGTGGAGCTCCCTGTGGGGCCACGAAACGTGTGAGGGGTGTGCCGAAATGGGTGGGGGCGGCATGCGAACGCAGCCACTGGGGCCTTCGGTGGAGCTCCTTATGGTGCCACGAAACGTGTGAGGGGTGTGCCGAAATGGGTGTGGGGGCGCATGCGAACCCAGTCACTGGGGCCTTCAGTGGAAATCCCCATGGGGCCACGAAACGTGTGAGGGATGTGCCGAAATGGGTGCTGGGGAGGCATACGAACCAGGCCACTGGGGCCTTGTGGGCCTGGGGCCACGAAACGTGTGAGGGGTGTGCCGAAATGGGTGGTGGGGAGGCATGCGGACCCTGCCACTGGGGCCTTCGGTGGAGCTCCCTATGGGGCCACGAAACGTGTGAGGGGTGTGCCGAAATGGGTGGTGGGGAGGCATGCGGACCCTGCCACTGGGGCCTTCGGTGGAGCTCCCTATGGGGCCACGAAACGTGTGAGGGGTGTGCCGAAATGGGTGGTGGGGAGGCATGCGGACCCTGCCACTGGGGCCTTCGGTGGAGCTCCCTATGGGGCCACGAAACGTGTGAGGGGTGTGCCGAAATGGGTGGTGGGGAGGCATGCGGACCCTGCCACTGGGGCCTTCGGTGGAGCTCCCTATGGGGCCACGAAACGTGTGAGGGGTGTGCCGAAATGGGTGGTGGGGAGGCATGCGAACGCAGCCACTGGGGCCTTCGGTGGAGCTCCCTATGGGGCCACGAAGCGAGGGGTGTGCCGAAATCGGGGTGGTGGATGATGATGATGATGATGATGATGATGCTGATGTGATGATGATAATGAGATGATGATGATGATGATGATAATGATGATGATGATGATGATGATGATGATGAGATGATGACGATGGTTGATGATGATGATGATGATGATGATGATGATGATGATGATGAGATGATGATGATGCTGCTGATGATGATGATGATGATGCTGATGATGATGATGATGATGACTGATGATGATGATGATGATGATGATGATGATGCTGATGATGATGATGATGATGATGATGATGATGATGATGTGATGATGATGAGAGGGAGGAGGGAGGGGGGGGGAGGAGGAGGAGGTGAGGAACGCGGGGCTCCGTCTATTCAAAACGAGGACCCAACACCACAGGATGGTTGGGAAAAATCAAGGCGCCCGGTACACCCTCCGAATCCCACCAGCCCTCTGGGCTTAGGTGGTATAACGCATTTCTTTCTTTTCTCTACCCCTCCCCCTATCCCCTCCCCTAGATCTAGCTCCTGAGATGTGCCAATAGGCACTGCATGTGCGGGGTAAACGGCAAGGCCGCCGCCAAAAAGACGAGTTCAAGGGCGTCGCGCCCTCAACTGCAGGAGCAGCTGGCAAGTATTAATTACCGCGTAGCGTCTTTCGAGACGCACCAGGCCCAATCTCGGAAGCAAAACCGCCCCGAGAGGAAGAAGGAGGAGAGGCCGAGAGCGAAGGACGGGAGGGCACGAGCACGACCGCCATCCCACCACCATGCCGCCGGCGAGGACGCTGGCGAGGCGGCTGGCGACGCGGCCATCCTCGCTGTGCGAGGGCTGGGAGCAGATCCTGGTAACGCGCACAGGTGGCCTCATCCTCCTCCTCCTCCTCCTCCTCCTCCTCCTCCTCCTCCTCCTCCTCCTCCTTCTCCTCCTCTTGGCTTGTTGCGTGTCCTTTCTCCATCCAGACAGGCAACGTGCACGGGCAAGACACACACACACACACACACAATATACGGTCGCGATGCCCTCTACAAGCCGCCGACACCACCCTGAGCGACCATGCCGATTGCGGAGCAAATCGAGAAGGTCAGAACCTACTGGTTGAGGCGCACGCTGGCAAAAATTGGCGCACATGCCCTCGTTATGGCATGCGGGTTGGTCCGCGCCTCTACAGCATCAGACTCGCGCGAAGAAAAAATCCGGACCTCCGACGTCGTGATGTTTGACGATACGTGGGCCCTC